AGGTGCCATGGAGGAGTGAGAATCTACTGCCAACCGGTCACAACCGCCGTGTGCTCATTGTCACGATCGGGAAATAACGGAAAAATCCGTCGTCAATTCAGTGTGTAAATAATTGCCTAACAATTAGTATGAAAAATGTCAGTCAGCATATGACTTAATGATAGATTGTATTTGCCGACAAAGTCATTGTATCGACCATAGAATTTAGAAATGATGACTTTAAACGAAACTGTTGATATTCTTGTTTCATCAACTTGTTTGTCAATAGCTTACATCGTTTTAGAAACTGTTTATACGTAGAACATGCTTTTGCTATCGAATCAACAAAGAGATATACACCCCATTTGCAGGTGATAAGGGTATATTGCTGCATAAGTAAGGGAAGCTGACGATTGAAAAGTTAAAGTCATCGCGTTTATCATAAAGCTTTGTTTACCATTAACGTCTTTTTCTAGTAAAATATCCAAATATGAAACAGATGTGTCAGACTCTGTGGTATCTTTTATTTTAAGCTCACTGGAATATATCGTATCGACATATTAATGGAAATAACTATTGCTAATTGATAATACGTCGTCGATATACTGTAGGTTGGCACATAATCAAGATAGTTTTAATTTCACTATGTTCACAATTCATCATTTTTCCGCGAAATTAGACCTATAATGCTACATTAGTTCTTAAAAACGTTTAAATGGGTATACCAAATTTAAATTAATTTCGTGCAACGTGAAATTAAAACCATCGCGATTGGTACTTTTTGAGAAATCGTGAAAGTTTAACACCGTGGAATTAAAATGACTTACAGTATCTAAATTTCGAGTTGAAGGCCATAGCAAGAGATTTCTTTTTCTCATACATAAGATTTTGAATAAATTCTGCCTCATATAAATACAAAAATAAGTCTGCTAACAACGGGGCGCAATTGGTACCCATGGGAATTCCAACAGATTGTTGGAAGAGCTGGGCTCCTAAAACCACATAGATATTGTCAATCAGAAACTCGAGCACCTTTTTAATATCAACTTCAGAGTACTTGTGTGTACAATCAGAATTTTTTTTTTTACAAAATAATTTTGCAAATGACCAATGACAAGGTAAGTAAATTTACGAGTTCCATTTTATTGAAAAAGCAGCTATCAACGATATCAAAAAAGCCTGGACTTTAATTTAACGTGGGGAATTGTTGTATACAGAGTTGAAAAGTCGTAAGTTTTTATGTTATTGATTTTGGTAAAATTTTGTGATTTCAAATTTCCTAAAAAAAAAAAAAATGTACTACATGTAAAATCGATGTGCTTTGGAGTAAGTAAGTAAGTAAATTTTATTTAAAGTCGGATTGTTTACAGATAAGAAAAAACATGAGCCATATACATTGTACATTATATAAACTCTTTAACCGACATTAAGCATGTCCGTACCGCCATAGCTTCACTGTACGCGTCCTATAATGTTACCCATCTTGCGATGCTATGAATTCATTGCCAAACATGTTTCGGATGTGTTTTTAAAGGTATATTGATCAAGTATAACCGTCAGAGTGTGTCAATTTTCAAGTGGAAGTTTACGTTACAGTGATTTTAACAACCTCGTCGGCATTTCGCAAATTTTATGGTCGTTATAATGACCTTGTTAGCAAATATAACCTATAATTGGGTCGTATTTTTGGCTGACTTTTTCATACCAATTGTTAGGGCTTTGTTTTTATACTGAATTTGACAACAGAATGTTCCGTCTATCTGATCAACAATCAGGGCACACAGCGGTTGTGACCGGTCAACAGGGGATGCGTCCTCCTCCTTGGCACCTGATCCCACCTCTGGAATTTCCAGGGGTCCTTGCTTTATGCACTTTTAACATATTTGTATTGTTTATAGATTTTTTGAGATCGATTACTGTTCGTTATCTTCACCTTTTACATTTCAAATGTGACCAAGTTAAAAGTTCTACTAATCCTTTCTTTGGGTGACGCAACTTGCCTAGATTTTGCACCCAATGTACACGACCTTAATTTGGGTGCTACGTGTATTTCATTTCCATCTGATCTGAGATAGTATTACATCATCTGAAACGCAAGGCGAATATTGATTTACATACGTATACGATTGCAAAGTATATGTGCTCTGCACTTCATAGAATGTTGAATACTTATATAAAACAATAATTATGACTTTAAATTATACTTATGGGCAATCAATTTTCTTCCAGATTTACAGATATCGTATTGCAATGTTATTATGACTGACATGTGTAAGTGTATAACTCATTAGCCATGTTGCTTTTCTCCTTTCCTAATATAATGCATTCGCCATGGACAACAAGAAAAGAAACACAGGCATTAACTAAGCAACACTATCTAGATAAACACATTACCATGTAATCATTTTCATGACAAACTCGTGTTTCAAAGTACCATGCAGGAATATTTGATTGATCTTTCTGATAATCATACTGGTCTTCGCACAACATAGAAAAGTGGAATACTGTAGATTATGTCACAAAAGCAAGGCGTTTATCTTCTAAAGTCTTGAATTCAAAATGGTCGCCTCAAACTACGAAAAAGTGATAGATACATAGAATGTGAAAGGCATAATTAAAAATACAATCTTGTTTTTTTTTTCTTTGAAAAGTCTTCTTCTATATACTTTCCTCACCCTATTTGCACTAGGGGTCACTCTCATCTGGCCATTGACCGCTGGTTGACTTTTGCTCTCTGGACCCTCAAAAGGAGTTTATTATTGCAATTGCAGAAAATAATTATGAGATGCACATAATGTTTATCTTGACAGATTCTAATTACCGCCTCTACAGAAGCACTCGGCGGAGTTTGTCCACTATAATTATAAGGTGCCCGCTAGTAATGAGTTATAATGGTCAGGCAAGGTATGCATGAATGTTGGTGCATCTGGTGCAGAGCGCATAAATAACCCGGATAATGCAGCTGCCAAGCAAGGTGCAAATTTGCAGTGTGCGCATGCTCCAAATTAGACTATCTTTTTAAATTAGACGGACGATACTGCTGTGCGTGCAACTTACACTTTTCATTATATACTATGTACCAGTTCTTTCTTTCTTAGAAATATTTTTCTTTCTCTGTTTCTCTTTGTTTTTATATTTCTTTTATTCTGTATTTTTTTATTCTCTCTGGTTATATCTGAAAGAGTACCCTTCTCTCAGAACGAAGTCATTTCTCCTCTCCCGGAAGAAGTTTGCTCCTGGGTAGAAACCAGTCGTATTAATTATATCCAAGTTCTTCGTCTTTTTTTCCGGGATAAATTGCTTCGCCAGTGCTTGTAAACCTTCTAATTCAGTTGCTGATCCTCCTTGTAAATCGCCTAATTAAGTTTTTCAATTTCTTGTCATTTTCCGATTTTTCACGTCGGTGATAGATGAGATCGTATCAGACAAATTACTAGATTTAATTGATTTTTACAATTTAAGTGTGACTGTTTCGATTGACATTCATTGAGGCATGTATAAATAAGTGATTATAGAAGAAATAACATAAAAGGGTAATTAATATGTCTTCCTTCAAATTTAAGAAAAAATATTTAACAGGCTTCAGTGAAGAAAGAAAGAAAGAAAGAAAGAAAGAGAAGATGACTTCCAGTTCAGATGCATATTTAAGCAGAATTGTGCTGGTTGCTTCTTTCTAATTTTGTTTTACATGTAATATCGTGTCGCTTTGGTTTTAGATTTCTTTGAGTGCTTGAATTCACTCACTCAATAAGAGAAGCATTGGAATGACGGAATGACAATCATCTATACTGAATCTGTAAATATATATATATATATGAGAGAGAGAAAAGAGAGAGAGAGAGAGAGAGAGAGAGTTACTATTACGCAGTATTACATTATGTTACAGCTATAGCCCCTTGCTGTGTTCCTAATGAGAAAATTACGTCTTGATTTTTTTTCCTTTATCGTACATGTATTGAATGTGATGTAACGTTGTTATACTATCCGATTTATACATTAGGACAAATATACCCAATTTTATCTCAAAGTCCGTTCTTATAGTCAACGTGCAGCTAAGTGAAAGATAATAATACATGTATATATGTAAAAATGTAACCATTGTCTTACGTCAAATCCGAGATGCCTTGTTGCTCATAAATGTTATCATATTATGAAAAAAAAGTTGGATCCAAATATAGACGTAGACATATGAACATTTTGAATATGTTATACGATACTTATATGCCACTAGATACATGTACATGTAGCTCCATATGTCGCATTACAGATTAATGAGTATAACCATATATATAGAAATCACAGGCACCTGACGTTACTTATTTTTCTTTTAATAAAAAATATATATACCCCTACTGTTTCGTCAGGTGCCTGTGTATATAACAGATATAATGTATATTCATACATATATGGATGTTCTTTGAACAGCTCTAAAATGTTTATATAGTCTCTACGAGAATATCTCCATACCTCACCAATAGAAGCGCCGTAATATCTTACAACGACATAGTTTTCATTCTAATTAACTGATCTATCTGCTTAATTAATGGGTCTCCACAAAACATCTGGTGTCATGGTTGACTTTCACTGGGAACTAGAACGGCTCCTTTTTTAAGGGCAAACCGGAAACGGGTTTTCTTCCTTAATATCATGATAATTTTTGGTGGTATAATTTACATCTTACACTACCATTTATTGGAAAAGATAAGTAATTTAATTTTTGACTAAAATTCATTCGTTGTGTAATGCAAGTTCTGATGAAAAAGACGCAACTGCAGAGATCTGCGTCCTTTTATCTGATTACATGTATCGAATCAAGTGATTAGTGATATTATTTTTTCTTTTATTAGGAAAAAGGGCATTAAACAATTCTAGAAATAATATCCTAGACCGTAAGACGGAGAAAATGTAAATCTATACATACTTAGAAGGAAGAAAGACAACTCGAACTTGTTTCTATCGGGATCGGGATTCTAAAAATAATTTGCTTCCGGAAAGCGTCGGGCTTTGTTGCCTGCAAAAAATTAAAGTAAAGGAGTTTTATAACACTGTGCATTATAAAAAGACTTGTTGAAATTAGTAAAACAATAAGATGGAAGAAAAGAAGCGATCACCAACAGAGGAAGATAACGATGAAGAGGGAAGACGCTCTAGTCGGAGGAAGAAGGCAAAGGTTCGTTCCGAAAATTCTCGGACCTCACTGTAATATTGGCCAATATTTAACATTTTCGTTGAAATATTCCCCCCTCCATTTATGATAAATTTCACTGTAGAAGGCACACTAATTTATCCTATAAAACTGTCTTTCATTGCTTTGAACAAAACCAAATAGGGGAGGGTATGAGCAGGTGTGGTTTATTATTTTTTTTAAATAAATGTAGCTTATTAATTGTGTTTAAGGTTGAATATAAAGAATCAGATGAGCAAGTAACAACTGTGTCAGATGGAGAAATGGAATCAGATGAGGAGAAGAAAGACAAAGACATAAAAGCACAAGAAGAAAAGAAACCACCTCAACAACAGCCAGCTCCTGCCCCAGCAAAGACTGACCCCGAGCCGGAGCCAGAAAACGACAGTGAAAATGATGACCCTACAGGTATACACAAAATCAAAAGTAAACAAACATCTGATTTTTTTTAATTCACTGTGTAGGGTAATCCAAGAAGGTTTGTCATAAAAGTTTTTTTTGATACTGTCAGCAAAAAACTTATATCTGATATATATTCGTCAAATCTAAAAAAAAAAATGTAAGGATTTGATTTTGTTTAATTGCAATCAAAAATATTTATCACTGAATAATTTAAAAGGTTCTTTGATAAACACTAACTTGTACCTGATGCTTAAATGGAAATAGATTTTGAATAACAAATACTGAAACAGTTAAAATGCATAATAAAAAAGTTATTTTTTTTAATTGTAATATAACAGGTATCACTCCACGCAATACATAAAAATAATGACATACTTGTCTTTATATATTTTTAATTGTTTATTTGCACAGGTTTAGAAGGAGCAGCATTCCAAAGCAGAGTTCCATTTGACAAAATGACATCACAGGAAGCAGCATGTTTTCCAGATATTTTGCAAGGGCCCCCTCAGTCCCAGAAAGTCTTTTTACATCTTAGAAACAGAATTGTAAGTCTTCAAGCTTCTCAAAAATACAATAAAATATAGATAGAATCGTAAGTCTTGAAGCAGATATAGAATTGTTAGTTACTCCCCATTCTTACTTCAAAAATTTTAAATCCTTTGATATTTTAGGAAAACACTTTAAATTACTAAGTAAGTTTCCTTGCATCTTAGGAAGAAAATTGTAAGTCATTGTTTTTCTCGGGATTGAAATATGTCCCATGAACAGGTCTGTACCGTAAGTCTTCTTAAGTTCCTGGGAATAAAATTTGTAGTCTCATCTCAGGACTTTCCGAGAATTGTAAGTCTTCTGATATCCTAAGCTCAAAATCTTAGGAAGAGAATTTGTCTCATATTCTAGGCCCAAAATGGTGATTGGTGAGTGTAGATCTTAGAAAGTTTTCTTGCATCTCGAAACTAAATTGTAAACATATACATGGACTATAGGAGATCTCGAAAATGTTTTACATAGTGTGATAATGTGACATTATATTCTGGATATTTTGATACCAAATATAGAATGAAAGAATTGTTTAGTTAACAGTAGAGGGACTTCAGACTGTCAGAGATTTTCTTGATGGAAGATTTCTTTAGTGTTGTATTTTACTCTTTGTATTTTGTCTGCTTATAAGTAATCATGCATTAAGTTTATAGCCTTTGGCTTTCATAAAGTGAGCATTTAAAAAAAAAAAAAATTTGATGACCTTATCATGTTTGCATATACATATAGTCTGTTCAATATTAGATATGTTTTTCTTTCTATGTATACATCTAGCTTCAGTTGTGGCTGGAAAATCCTAAACAACAGCTAACATTTGAGGTAGCCCTTCCACAGATTGAGGCACCATATAACAGTAAGTCTTAAATGTGTAAGATATAAAAATACAGATTAAAGGGTTTTTTTTGTTCAAAGTTATGGAAAGAATATCCGGTTCTTTAGAATACATATTTATTGAAGCAAAAAAAGGAATTTTTGATATGAAAAATGAAAGAATATGAGTTGACTTTGAGTCAAGTTTTCTTTTATTTTTTGGAAAAGATTCAGGAAAATAAAATACATTATTTGTGTATACATGTAAAAGACTTGATCTTTACTCCACGCCACAATCTTTATAACAAAGGTGATGGACCACTAGTAATGAGAGTACACACGTACCTAGAGAGATTCGGCTACATCAACTTTGGTGTATTCAAGAGATTGAAACCCTTACCTGGTACGATCTTAAATTTTGAAGATATTGCTGAATAAAAGAATGAAAAAAGATAATACACAGCGAAAAATAATATGGATAAAAAAATTCTTAAAATTTTAGCAGCAAGTTTATTGTGTTTTGTTTCTGTCAGCTTGAAGAAAAAAAAATTTGAAAGTGTATTTTAAATAACTTGCAGTTAAAAAGCATGGTAAAGTGATAATTATTGGGGCTGGGATAGCAGGACTGACTGCAGCCAGGCAGCTAATGGCTTTTGGAATGGATGTCACAATTCTTGAAGCCCGTGTAAGTATATGTTTCAGATATGTTATGAAATAGATTTAGCTGTGAGATAGAAAAGGATTACCAAACTTAGTAATGAGAATTACATATTCACTTGCATATGTTAAAATACATGTATACTATATGTCCATTAATCTATTGATGTACAGGACCGTGTTGGGGGTAGAGTAGCCACATTCAGGAAAAATAACTATGTGGCAGACCTTGGAGCTATGGTGGTGACTGGTCTGGGTAAGTTTTATTGAACAGGTGAAAAATATTCTTAGTTTTATTTAAGCTCTATGATATTGAATGCTAGGAGTAAATGTTAAACATTTTCATCTGATTCTGAATAATATTTGTTACTGTAATTGCTTTCTGGATTTATTTTTGTGATTTACATGTACATGTGTCTGATATTTACTTGGAACCAGGTGGAAATCCAATGACCATACTAAGCAGACAAATTAATATGGAGTTGCATAAAATTAAACAGAAATGCCCTTTGTATGAGACCAGCGGTAGCACAGTGAGTAATTCATTACATCTAGGGCTGTCACGGTTCCAAAATTTTTCGGGTCGGGTCGGTTCTGTAAATTTTCGGTTCGGTTCCGGGTTTTTCGGGTCTGGTATTTACTTCTATTTTAAAACTTAATTTCATGAATTAAACTGAAAAATCTTTATTTGTTACATTAAATTTACATTGAAAACAAGTCTTAACCATGCGAACGTCTAGACATCGGTGACTTGGCCTACTATTAGCCACAACCTGACCATTCCTGCTCGTTTTGATAATTATCTAATACTTCCGTGACAAGTGTTTTGTCATGGAATGAAGTAGATTTCAGTTGTGATGTTTATTTATCACTGTTATCGTCATCATTTCTTTGATTTCGACGCCATTTTTTTGTATTGAACAGACTCTAATATATAAACCAAACCCGAACCGAAATCCAGAAAAATGGAACCGGAACCAAACCGAACAACTTGGACCGCGGTTCTCGGTTATTTTGGGTACTCGTGACAGCCCTAATTAAATCCATAAATTTACTTAAAGCTTTGGTTATGGAAAATACACATCTAATAGGGGAATTACTGGACTACATATATACATGTATATATGTCAGATGCAAGTCTGAATGGAAATGGAAAAGTACTTAATAATTTAAACAGTCTTTTACAGAGAAAAAATTATTGTTAGATATTTTTAATGTTAAGATACATGTATTTTAAGATCAACAATTCTAGTTCCAATTGATAAGGAGACTAGCAATTAAACTTAGAACTCTCAGTGATTGTTGTGTACTTGTAGGTCCCCAAAGATAAAGATGAAATGGTAGAGAGGGAATTCAACAGATTACTAGAGGCCACATCTTATCTCTCTCATCAGATGGACTTTAACTTTGTCAACAACAAACCGGCCTCACTAGGACAGGCCCTAGAGGCAGTCATCAAGTAAGATTTTTCTCCTAAGAAATAAATTTTTAAAAAAATTTTATGAAACATTTATAAAAAAATCTGTTGAGAGAGAGAGAAAGAGAGAGAGAGATTGAAAAATGAATGTTAAAGCATTTTACATTAGGCCAGAGGCTAGCTACTTAATAACTTGCTGATAATTTTTGGGTAGAAGTATTAGAAAAATGTATGATACAACCTCGTAAAGTTGCCACTAAATCTAGATAGCAGATTACACTGCATGACTGACACTAAGATTGGATTCTGTTAGCCAGTATTACATTTAAATATTTGTAAACATGTGTTCTATATCAGTCATGAAAAGATTTTACTTGACAGAGTTATGCCTCTTTGTATATACAACCCGATGGATACACATACATGTAAATAGAACAACTTTTTCTTAAAAGTAATCTCCCTTTGTTATCCTAAATAACATTTTTCTCACTATATCCTTTGTAATTACCTGTAAATCTTTTTAACCTTCAGACACTTTTGGACAATTTCAAATGTAACCTTTCATGACATACATGTATTGTTTTGTTTTGAACATATTTTATTGACAAGCAAAAGGATAAGAAACAAGTTCTCTCAACTTACGAGTTCTTCTCCTTATGCATGATGTATTACATGTATTATGGGGGCAACATAGGATTTACATATAGAGCATTGCCCCATAAAGTTGGTTATGTTATAGAGGCTAAACAGAGGTTACAGGATGACCCCCAGATTGACCCTGCAGAGGGTAATACAAAAGTTGATAATGGTGTTTATTTACAGAATGCAGGAGAAACATGTAAAGGAAAAGCAGTGTGAACATCAGAAACATATTTTAGAGTTACAGGAGAAACTGAAAAAGAACCAGACCACGGTAAGTACAGTATAGGGCTTAATTAATAAACATGTACAGTAGTAATAAGTTACTGTAGCTGTTGACATGAAGGGAAAATCAGAATGCATAGTGAATTCATAAAGAATGCCGATGTGAAGCATCATATTCCATATCCCTTTGTTTACTAAAAATAAACTTATTGAGATAGTTTGTATGATCTATTACTTAGCTGACTAAATTGTTAGAGTTTACTGATCATGCTGATATGGCTATGATCTTTATTTTCAAAATGAAAGTTTATTTAACCAGTGTCATAGACTGATTACAAATCAGATTACTATCTATCAGGGTTAAGAAACTTTAATTCTTGTTACAGATGTTGTCTCTGAAAGACAAAGTGGAGGAGCTACACAAACAATGGAAGGAGGCTTCAGAGGTCAAACCGCCAAGGGACATAACTGCCGAGTTCCTGGTCAAGAGCAAACTACGAGATCTCAATGCTGCGTGTAAGGTAGGGAACACATCTGTGTCATTTGTTATACTTCAAAAGCATATTTTGATCATTAATTGTGATGGATTCAGATAAGGGAAAGGTCTTTATTGTCACCTATTGAAATGTGTATATTATTTATAAAAATTGAGTTTGTGTATTGTAAATAGCTTTTGAAATATGCATATTTTTGGTGAATTTTAGGATACGTGTATTTTAGGTAGTAGTTAAATACATTAAGGTAGGGTTTGAATTTTTTTGGTAAAATTATGTCTGTTTAAGGTACGTGTAGTACAGTAAAATCAAATATGTTCATGGGGTCAAATTTTCGTGGATTGAGAAAAAAATGGTGGTTTGTGGGGTTTTAATTTTCTGAATGAAGAAGTGCTGAGTAGTATATATTTTGAAAATTTACATTTGTGGAGGACATGAATTTGTGGGTCTCATCATACTCCGACAACAACGAAAATTAACCTCCCCCCCATCCACACACGCACACACAAATTAGTGATTTCACAGTAATTAAAATAGATGAATATTAGGTAAGTTTTAAAATATATGTATTGTAGGAGTATGAGCAGCTGCATACACAGCAGAAAGAAATTGAAGATAAACTTCATGAGATGGAGACATCATCACCAAGGTAATAAAATGTCAGGAATTCTGCCTGGTGACTCGGACATTAAGTATACATGTACTTGTGCATATTTTATTTATATTTGTGTTTTTATTTTTTATACACAGGTACTAGTCTGTTTAAATATATATGTTTGTTACAATATCTATATGAAGTAAAGCAATCTCAGCTTTAATACAGAAGTTGATAAAATACATTTATATACAAGTCTGTGCCCTACTTGTACTAGTTCTTTATAATATTACAGCATATACAGTATATAAACAAGATAGATCGAAGCTTAACCCTCATAAATCTTATTTACTCCATTATGAATCAGTCCTAAAGTATTCCACACTTTAGCTTATTTGACAATTTATTTGATTCGAAATTTAAATAAATTAAACCAAATGCAAGCACATTCTGTTTGAAATCATAGCAGACTGTACAGTGACACTCCTTCCACGTAAAATACATATGTGTAGCTATAGAATTCTAATTATCAGGACATTTCTTAGTTGTGTTACTGTTTTAATGTTGTATTTGTTTCTGTTAACTTGACAATCTTATTTCTCTACTTATCAGTAATTTATGATTGTTTTGGCTGGATTTACAAGTAATTTCTGTCTTTTAATTAATTTTTAGTTTATGATGTCTTTCTTTCTGTCATTCTGAGCCAACAACTTTGTTTAGCTCTTGTGTTTAGCTCTGTTCCACCTTATATAATCTTGACCTTGACTTCTGACCTCATTACAGATCAATTAAACACATTTAATTTAGCTGTGTTTTTAGTACTGTACATGTAATCAAATTATGAGTACTTCACAATCCAGCCATATTACATTTTAGTAGCAATCTGTTCATGTTCAGTGTTCGTGTTCAATGTTCATGTTTGCTGCAGTGAATACAGTTCAGGCAGCTCCACTAATTCTCCATAGATTTGGTTGCAGTGATGTTTACCTGTCCTCACGTGACAGACAGATCCTGGACTGGCACTTTGCCAACCTGGAGTTTGCTAATGCCACGCCCCTTTCTCTTCTGTCACTCAAACATTGGGACCAGGATGATGATTTTGAATTTTCTGGGAGTCACTTGACAGGTAATGTTAAACTGTATCATTGAAGTCTGAATTTGAAACTTTCTATGTTGCATTAAGTGAGCTGGTAAAATAGAATATTTACATCTCTAAAATGTAGGCTATTATCAAATGTTATCTGAGTTAAATATGAATGTGCCTCATAGAAGGTCAAGGTGTTAGTCTCTTAGGGAAAATTCGGTGTTTCCATGTATCCCCCCCCCCCCCAACACCACCACCACTGGAGCATGCTGAGGACAGTTGTGTTCTTGAACCCATAGTTAACTTCATTTTGTGATAATTGACTTCTCTTTTGTTGAAAAGTGTACACAAATTTCCAAGATTTTTTTTTTGTTATTTGAAAGTGAATAAAATGAAAGCATGACTGTCATAAAATAGTTTTGGAGGTTGCCTACATGATAAACATTAATGTTCAGTTTGAATTGGAAGTAAACATATATATGTACTCTTGAGTTTCACATTACACTTTTTAACCATAAACACTTCAGACATACTGTTATTTTGCTGAACAGGAAAGCATTAGTTTTGAATATCAATAAGTTAAAAAAAGAAAACAAAAAAAAATTAATTGCTGCCAAAGGTGTTTGTGCAAAGAAGACAGAGAGGCTTTCCACAAAAGTGTTTGTTGTTTTTTTTTTTTTTCAATTGAAATCCTGAGTAATTTAGGTGAAATAATGATACAAAAAAAAGAATTATCAAATATTTATCTGAATTAAAGACCACACCCCATTAAACTTGCAAGAAACATGTGAACAACTCTTCAATTTTGTTAGAGAAATCCTACACTTTGTTGATAATAGTTCCATTCATTTATGTTTTCAAGGCTATTGGTTCTTGAGTTGCTGTAAGCATCAGAGCCATGCATCTCTCTTTGGTAAAATAATTTGACACCTTTTAACAATTGTCTGTCTTGGTTGCATAATCTGCAGTTGTAAACATAATAAAAAGAGTTTTCCCTCTGAATTATTTCATGTTCTGTTTATGTCTAGATGTCGGGTGTTGTTTTCAAGAAGAGAAGGAAAAATAATTTTTCAGCTTTATTGCCTTAGTTCTTTGTGTTCTTCACCTGACCCCTCTTAAAAGCAATATGTTTCTTAGATGCTGCTTTGGGTTTTCATTTTTTTTTTGCTGGAAAAGAGATATTGCTTCTGGTTTTCAGAAACAGCAATGGGTATGGTGGGAGGGGGGGGGGGGGGTCAAATGTTTGATCTCTTTATTTGGTTCTCTATTTGTCCATTTGTTCAATGGTAAAATTTTAAGAAGTCTTTTTCATTTCATCATCAACCTCATTGAAAATGAATTCATCAAATGCCTGTGAAAATTCAAGAGATTTTGTAGTAAAGAAAAATAGAAGTGGTTCAGACAGTATAACCATAATTCTAGCAGACGTTTTATGATTTCACAGATATACATATAAATCACAAGTTGCCTAAAATTCTTTAATGTTAGTTAATTGCCTGTACACAATAAATTTTTGGAGAAATATGTATAAAATGAAGAAAAATTGCAAAGATTATTTAATGTATATTAAGGAACATTACAAAAGAACAAGTTTCAATATACACAAGTATATTTGTTTACATGTACATGAAAAACTGATGTCTTTTAAAATTTTTGACAGTACGAAATGGCTACTCCTGTGTCCCAGTAGCCTTAGCAGAGGGTCTGGATATCAAACTTAACACAGCGGTCAGGAAGTGCAATCACACAGCCACAGGGGTGGAGCTAGTGGTCAGTAATGCTAAAAATAACTCTAACCAACAAACCCTGAAGGCAGATGCCGTCCTGTGTACCTTGCCCCTGGGGGTGCTGAAGGAATGTATCAAGGGGAATGGTCTCAATTGTGTTCAATTCAATCCACCATTACCAGAGTGGAAATCCTCAGCCATTCAAAGAATGGGCTTCGGAAACCTCAACAAAGTAATTTTTTTTTCAAATTCATACTGTAAAATCATTTATTTTTGTGGGGGTTTAAGTTTTTGTTGTTTTTGAGGCATGAAGAACCCATGCATTCATGTTCAGCACAAAATGTAAAATTTATTATACATAACTACTCAACAGTTCCCCTGAATGAATATTTTCCTCAAACCTTGAATATTTGACCTACGAAAATATGTGATTTCACAGTATACAGAGATTTTATTCTTTGCTTCTCAGTAAATAACGAATACCATAATAAGCATAACTTAACAATAGATTGATTAGAGATGAATATTTTCAAGGCAGCTTAATTAGTATTTACTTTCCAAATTAAGATCCATACCCCAATTTGAGAAAATTTTCATTTACATGTGTATGTGCTTATGATAGTAAGAAGTTTTTTTTTTGATATAAGTGTTAAGGAAAAATTGCTTTTTGACAAAAAAACTTCAGTAATAGATACTTTTCTGTCCTCCTTTCAAGCATTAATAGCAATTCCTTTTACAACATCTCTTACAGGTAGTGCTATGTTTTGACAGAGTGTTCTGGGACCCTAATGCTAACCTGTTTGGTCATGTTGGTAGTACAACAGCTAGTAGGGGGGAACTCTTTCTTTTCTGGAATCTCTATAAGGCTCCGGTGCTGCTGGCTCTGGTTGCCGGGGAAGCAGCAGCCATCATGGAAAATGTCAGTGATGATGTCATAGTTGGACGGTCTCTTGTGGTTCTCAAGGGTATTTTTGGCAACAATGCAGTCCCCCAAGTAAGTTCTTTTTTGCTTCAAAATACATGTATAAATACAGATTTAGCTCTTATGAGCAGTAATGTCATGGACATTTAAACTTTTTGGAACATAGACCTTAACTTAAAAACCCTTGACATAATGCAATTTTTGTTTCAACACAATGAAATATACATATACTCAGAAAGTTGAATATTTCCTTTGTTTGCAGCCCAAAGAGACCTTAGTGACCCGCTGGAGGGCAGACCCTTGGGCACGTGGTTCTTATTCTTTTGTGGCCGCTGGGTCCTCAGGTAACTACAGCTTTGGTGTACACTGAGACATAGGAATCTGCAGTAATTCTTCATTTGTTGTCTGGATGATTTAAAAAGAAATGCATCAATATGAATAAAATGGCTCACACTCCTGCTTTTATATAAATGTACATTTATAGATTAGAATGTTCTAAAAACACATGCTGAATCTACAGGTGACATCTTTTTTTAAGACATATTTTTTATTATGGTATGGCAGTCCTGTCCATCCATCTGTCCAGCTGTCTGTTACTTTTTTGTGTCTGGCTCATAATTTAAAAATACTATAAGGCTTAGGCTCTTTGTCAGCTGATGTATTTTGGGTCTCTTTAAAGTTTGAATTGACAAGGAATACTTTCTACACCTGAGGTCATCACTTGTCAATTCCTGTATAACAATCTCATGATTAATTAAGGAAAAGAATTTGGTTAAATTTAGGTACAGCTGAAAAATTCTTTTAATATTTGTGAACATGATAAAACCTATGAATGATTACTTCTGGTGTAAAGTGCAGTTTAGATTTTCATTAAAGTACACTTTTCCCCTCATTTGAAAAGTAAAATGGCGATAGTATCAGACTAGCACATCATAAAACAGACACAAGTCCTGTCTTGTTATATAATTTTATGGAGTTTATCTCCTTTTGTTTATAGAGAAAATCTTTAGTAAAGAATTTTCCTTTCCATTATCACAAAAAGATAGAGATTGATTCAGTTTCTATTCAATGTTTAAGATAAAAATTACATCATAAACAACAATAAAATCTTGTATATCATGAAGTTTTTAATTTGTTTTGTGAAAGTTACTGCAAATTTGTTGTAGAAACCTTTGACAGGCATTTCTTGCTAGGATACTTAAATGTTAAAATCTCACTTCATACATAAAAACTTGAAGTACAAGAAGTGAGGATAAATTTTTAAAACTTAAACAGTTTTTTTGATGTCTTTTTTTTATACTTAGCATGGCATATTTATGGAGGTCTTTGCAGAGAGAAAAATCAATGTTTTTGAAAAACAAATTACAATGGAAGTAAACAAATCAAACTAAATTTAAGTTATTGATTCCTTTACACTTGAATCCTTTGAATGTACTTTTGATTGTCTGATCACCTTGTCTCACCTAGGTGACTTACAGTTATCTTTTCAGTGTCTTGTGCAAAGTGTGTTCACATTAATGTTTTTAATTGGATTTGCAAGATAAAAATCTTCGCTGCTTTTCATTTCTTTAAGTTTTTAGCTCACCTGAGCCAAAGGCTCAAGTGAGCTTTTCTGATCAAAATTTTTCCGTTGTCTGTCGTCGTTGTTGTCGTTGTCTTTGTTGTTGTAAACTTTTCACATTTTCATCTTCTTCTCAAGAACCACTGGGTCAATTTCAACCAAACTTGCCACAAAGTATGCTTGGGTAAAGGGAATTCAAATTTGTTCAAATGAAGGGCCACGCCTTCTTCCAAGGGGAGATAATTAAGAATTTGTGAAAAATTAATGGCATCATTAAAAAATCTTCTCAAGAACCACTGTGCTTGAAAATATGAAACTTATGTGGAAGCATCCTCAGGTAGTGTAGATTCAAGTTTGTTCAAATCATGACCCCTGGGGGTCGTCGGGTGGGGCCACAATGGGCGATCAAAGTTTTACATAGGAATATATAGGAAAAATCTTTAAAAATCTTCTTCTCAAGAACAGCAAAGCCATGATTGGTCATATTTACATGGAAGCATCCTCATGTATTGTAGATTCAAGTTTGTTCAAATCATGACCCCCGGGGGTCGGGTGGGGCCACAATGGGCGATCAAAGTTTTACATAGGAATATAAAGGAAAAATCTTTAAAAAATCTTCTTCTAAAGAATAGCAAAGCCATGATTGGTCATATTTATATGGGAGCATCCTCAGATAGTGTATATTCAAGTTTGTTCAAATCATGACCCCTGGGGGTCGGATGGGGCCACAATGGGCGATCAAAATTTTACATAGGAATATATAGGAAAAATCTTTAAAAATCTTCTCAAGAACAGCAAAGCCATGATTGGTCATATTAAAATGGAAGCATCCTCAGATGTTGTAGATTCAAATTTGTTCAATTCATGACCCCCCCCCCCCCCCCAAACCACTTTTTTATTTAAACTTTTCATCCTTTCAAGACTGAACTGATTTCTGCGTTTTCCTAGCCATAGTGCTCAGGTGAGCGATGTGGCCCCTGGGCCTCTTGTAACTCTTCTTATCAAAGATACATTAAGTAACATTTTATACATGTATATCAAAGCAAAACTTTAAACAAGATGATCAAGTCTTGACAACTTATCTTTGTTTGATTTCACAGGCAATGACTACGATTTGATGGCCACCCCTGTTTCAAATTCTCCTGGCAGTTTACCTCGCCTCTTTTTCGCTGGGGAACACACAATCAGAAACTACCCAGCCACCGTCCATGGTGCCCTGCTCAGTGGACTTCGAGAGGCGGGACGTATAGCTGACCAGTTCCTGGGGGCCCCTTATGCTCTACCAACGCACAAAAACGAAGGAGTGAAGACATAATACCAAAGAACATTTGTCATTCAAAGTCATTAATAATTCTATCACTGAGACATACCATATGAATGTGGCTGGCATAATTACAGATGAATGCAGAGGCTGTTTTTTTTTTCTCAACATTATCCAGGTAGCATTTCCTCAGTATCATAGAAGAGCCAGGATGATTGGCAAAAATGGCAGCAACAATTAGTTTTTGCATTCATAAGATGGCATTAAATGATCAGCTTTTTATGTTGTTTTTACTAGTATGTAGTATGTGAATGACTTTCCATCATCTTTTTCTCTACACTTGGCGATAAACATAAGATTTTAAAAAAAAATAACACTGACTTAATTTCATTAATTTTCAGTGGTTCACTGTGTGTGTGTTTGTATCATTTTTGCTTTTCTATGCACACTACACTGTAAAAGCAAGCATTATATGATCCAATAAAACATGCAAAAATCTATAGTAATTATTTATTTTTTTGCACTCTTCTGATATTTTTGCAGAGTGCACATTTTTCAGCAAAGAGTGCAGGGAGTTGCAGAAACAGTAAAAAATAATCCATAGATTTACATTCATACAGATGTCAGTTTGAAAGTAGTGATATATCAACGCTAGTTACATCTTTTCATTGAATGATAATATTGGGGATGGCTGGAGAGAATTTGAATTAAGCACCAATTTTTGTGTTAAATGACTTGAATGCAATTCATGAATCGTCTAAATTTTTAAATCTTTGACATAATAAGAACCAATATAAACCAAACTCTACGAAAAAAAAAATGCACAAAGCATTGTTCGGAAAAAAAGATTCAAATTTCTCAAATTAAGGGCTAAGCCCATAGGCAAAATTTTTTCAGATAACAAAATATAACCTCCTACCAAATATTAGAGAGGGGGTTATGTTGAGAAAAATATGTGACATCAGAAGCCCTGACAAAAAGTTGGAGAAAACAAAACTTAAGCTGTAAATCATGAACTCACATAAATAATTCCATGTAGTGAAGATAAAACATATCTAATAATGATTTCATTTACATCTAAATTCAAAAGGAATCAAATATTTTAGTAAACATGTTTACAACTCTCTTGACATCATTTGTCTATTTACCTGATTTATGATTTGGTATTGTAGACAGTAGTTACTTTGAAACAAAGATATATGTGTAATAGAGTGATGTTTCCATGACTAGTAAATATAATTATTTGTTAAATGTCTGTAAACGGTTAAGAAAGGGGATATCAATGGTCATAATTTATAAAAAAATAAATTATGTTAGTGATGTCAGAAGAGAATACTTTACTTGTGCCGTTTTGCATCTTCAGATGAATCTGAAAGTTATTGAAATAGACAAGAAACAAATTTGAAAGCAAATTCTGAGGATAAAAATTCAAACGTTTGTTAAAGAGAACAAATATCTTCTATCGGGTCAAAATTTATTGCGCACTATCCTGCATTAAATCACATTTAGAAGGTAACACCCCTTTAGTATATTTTAAGAAAGATGTTTTGTAAGAAAATGTTGAAAAACAAGTTTATACATAAGAAAACAATTCATCTTGTTTGATCAGAATAATAGCTTATTGGTCTACAACTGCAGGGTGATGAAATATATCGGAAATAAAAGATATGCTTGTGTGGAGCATTCAAACTTGCGTGTTTATTCAGCTGCACCTTATTATCTGTTTATAATTCAAAATACAAACGTGTGCGGTAAAGACAATTTATATATATCCCTGTAGGAATGTATCTGTTTTCTGTTAAGAAGTGATTACATGTTTTATGTGTTGATCTTGTTTTAGATAAGTTTGAAAACGTCATTATGTTTTTTTTTTTTTTTTTTAAAAAAAAGGCCTTGATATCGTTAACTTTAAGATGGAAAAATATTTACCCCACCACAAAATGACACATTTTATTACTCTTAATGAAACGTGTGAATATGATTGTAAAAAGTCTTGGTGAGATGCAATAAAAATAAAATGAATCTACGCATTTAAAAAAAAATCTTTTAATATGTTTTTGAAACTTCGAAAAAAAAACTGTATGTGACTACCCTAACAAAAATTTACTAAAGTTAACTTAGTTAATATTTTGATACTATGATTTACTATAGAACTTTTATTTTTGAACTTGTTTTGGGGATTTGGGGTCTTACTATCTTTTTAATTGCACAGCAATGATGACAATTTTTGAAACAATATGTCAATTCTAGTATACAAATAATATTTTACTTTGATATCAAAAAATTACATGCAAGTCTTGGACAAGATATAGCAATTTGAAATTCAGAATAAAAATATTGTGATTTACAGTAATGAAAACTTCATTTGATTTATGATAGTAAAAACTCTGATACCATATTAAACTATAACTAACTATAGTATTTTCCTAAGGTATATACATGTACTATATAAACATGTCTTTAATTGAAATTTTCATGATTTTTGGGGGAAAAAAGTTTGCATCATCAGTTCCTAATTCAATTCTTCCCAGTCTTTTCAGCTGAGCTGGTACACTGTAATAAGTCGAAACTGTAATAAGTCGAAAAAATATTTATATCTCAAGATAATCATTTTATATGTCGAAAAAAAGATTATACTTATGAACAAAAACTATGTAATGCAGTAGTAGCAGAAAATATAAACTGTATATACTTTTAACTGGTACTTATCAAATTTCAAAAATGTTTAAGAAGATGGGTGAACATGACGAGCGAAAAGCCTATAGTGTGACAAACATAAAGGTGAAAAATTAAATCTCAATTATATCAAAATTTTCCTTGATATTTCATCTAACATTAAGATATACTTTATCAAAAATCTCTACAATTTGCAAAAATCTCACAAAGATTGAAATATTATTTGCCTATGAAATAATATACACACACTAAAGAGGGCAAAAAGAGTCATTTTCTCATATTAAAGCACTTTTTTTGATATGAGTGGGTCTTGACTCCATTTTTTTGAAAGTTTATCCTCAAAGTTTGCATAAAAATATACATCTTTTTGTTACCAAAAACATGGAGCAAGGACCCACTATACTTTAAAAATATACTTTTATGATAAAACTTTTGCATATTTTCGAGAAATACTTGAAGTCCATTAAGTCAAGGGTCATATCACAAACATGATTTAAATGCCACTATTCATCAGGACTTGCGTAGTCTAGTGGTTAGCGTGCTAGGCTCGAAAGAAAATGATACTCAGGATTTTTATGGGTTCGAACCCCACGAGTACCACATTATTTTTTAGTAAAAGAACAAATTTTGCGCAGAAAATTTTCCTCAGAAAAGTTTTGCTTATCATAATTTCATAAACTTCTATAATGAGAGCGTTACTCTTAATACAAAATTCATAAATTAAACATGATTTTTATATATCTGAAGCTATAGGCTTTCTGCACGATATGTTCACCCATCTCCTTTTGAACTCCCTTTGTTTTCCTTTTAAATATAAGAATTTAAATTCAGTGACCATGATCTTTGAATAAATTATGATTTTATATTCGAATACTAGTAAATCCGATCTATTCCCTTTAATGTGTTGGGCATTGTGGATACCCGACCTTGAGAGAAGTGGAAGTTTTATGAGTGAGTGGGTACAAGAAGTGGGAGTTTTGTGAGTGAGTGGATACGAATATTTTATGTTACTATGAAATATCAGTGCATGAAAAATCATGTTATGACAATGATGAACATGGTACCGGTTTTAGTAGATACCCTGTCAGGCCGTTGTTAAGATTCCGATCAGCTGTTTTTGATCATTTGTTTATGATGACGATAGCAGACTTTCACAACAGCAAAACAGAGACAATTTTTATCATATTTATGTAAGTTTATGCATGTTATCTCCGTTTGTTTATAGAAGAAATCTAAGGTTCATTTTTTTTGGTTACATTATCACAGAATGGTACAGATTAATTCAATTTCTACCTGACATTTAAGATTAAAATTGCATCATAAACGACCATTAAATCATACATCATGAGGGTTTAAAAATTAGCTGTTAAAAGTTTCTTAAATTTTTTGTTAAAACAAGGAAGAAATTTGACAGACAATCTTGTCAGAGTTTATAATGTTTTTTTTAGATTCACATATGGGAAGTTTAAGTAGATGAAGTAAACAGAACTTGACAGAAAACATGTTTTCTGTATACTTAACGTTCACTTTTCAAAGAGCAAATCAAGGTACATGTAACATTAAAAAATGCAATGTAAACAAATAAGATAAAAGAATAGTTATAAGTTTTATATAGATTTCTTGAATCTACTAATATAATTATTTTATTCTTTTTTTTTTTTTTTTTTTTAGATTTCACAAAAAGCTGAATACTTAATTTTTCATGATTAAAGTAATAAAACGTTAACGTAGCCCCCCCCCCCCCTTCCCAAAAAAAAAGCCTTAAATCGGAAGATCACCATGAATCGGTTACCAGAATTGATTGCTAGTTGCAGGTATATATAAGTATATAAGTTGTTTCTTCACCTGTTTTGTTACATTTTTTATGCTGCATCTGACAATATATTCCAGAGAAGTCACTAGGTTAAAATCTTTGGAAAATTCTTAGGAACTCGGACCTACCTAGATCAAACTAACATAGCTGATACATCTTGATGCCATTGCAGTCTTCTTTCAAGTATTCATTTTTGATGTCCGAAACTTCAACAACGTAATGACGAAATAAGCTTATGTGTTTTATGGAAATGACCTTGTTAAGATATTTTGGCTTACTTACACTTTGTATTACAGTCATTGAGGTGAGCTTTGCAATCTCCAGTAAAATATGTTAGTGATTTTTAGGAATTCCGTTTAAATATATTAATTATATATAGTCATAATAACTTTTAGTCATTATTTTGTTTTACTTTTTTGTACACTTTCTTTCTATTCAAAGATAATTTTATATTCATGGTGAATGATTGTATAATTCGTTGGTATCTTTTGAACGATTCTGAAAACTCTATATTCTTAACTAATTGACATTATAAATAGATGGTAGATCATTATATACCAATTATATTGCTGCAAGCTCTGAGAGGCACTTTTAAGTTTAAGTCCTAGTATGGACGCATTGTTGATATTCTATGAGCACAGAAAAAACAAAGATTTGATGACAATAACACCTAACAATATTTGTCGCTCAACTTCATTAACTTTTTCCCCTACGACATACCAACTTGAATATGGCTGACACAGGTACAACTTGTAGAGGCAGGTCCTTTGTACTATCTAGTGAGCAATTCCTCGAAAACACATAAGAGCCAAGACGAATGAATAAAATGGCAGTAGCAATTATGTTTTGCATCTTTTAATTGTGTAACATAGTAGTTTTGTTTTTCTAAAGTATCGATGTTTAACTGTATGTAGTATGTTAATGAATTGTTTTTTATATTCATTTTTTCGTTCCCTTTGTGGAAAAAAACCTTCGTTAATAATTAAACATTGCAAGTTTTATTTCCATA